GCTGAGGCCAGAGCCGATCCCCAGGCTCCGTACACGCAGGGCGGCGTCAACGGGGCTCTGAGAGGCGGCACCGAGAGGAGGCAGCTGCAAAGAAGCTTCAGCCTTGAGGACCCAGCGCAGTGGGCGCAGGGATACCAGAGCACCTGGCGCCAAGTCAGCAGTGACCTCCGCTTAGCCTCCACCTACCAGCCAACCCTACACACTGCACACACCACGCAAACACACGCAGTCAGTCTCTCGTACACACTCTCCTCCATCACAACCATGCCCACAGTTGTACTCACCTACACCCACAGCAGCTCACATGGGCGCATGCACACGACACTCTTCCACAGACAAACACAGAACAAGCACCAACACACCTTACACATAGCTGTCGTGGGCACACGTTCCCACATTGCCATTCACTGTCACCAGGAACTTGCACACCACTACACATTAAAACACTCATACAGGCACAGGCATGTGGGCACCTTTCCACATATGCCAGCTCACTTTCCAAGCTTTGGTGTATGCAGCTTCCCCTCCACTCCCAGAACCGCACCTCAGAACAACTGTCTTGCCCACTTCCTGATTGATAGAGATCGATTCTTGTAACCACTGTGAGTCGATACCCATACCTATTCATTATTTATGCTTATTCGTGCCTTGATTCATCACTTCTGGAGTTATCCCTCATCATTCTTCTGCCCCACAGGGATGTACATGCTGTTGACTGTCTGAGGAGGCTTGAGCCAGGGTGTTCCGTGGCAAAAGACGATGGACAGGCAGGTAGAGAGGTCTCAAGCCAGCAGTGCCCCGGGGAGAATGTGGTTTGGAGCATGTGGCTAAGATGGTCTACATTCCCAGGTTCACAGCCAGATCAGACAATGGGTTTTATGCATTTGTTACTGACTCACTGCTGTCCCCTGGCCACTGTCCCTCAGTGGAGAACCATGGTCACTGGGGCTGGGGCCAGGAGACTTGGGATTTAGTCATAGAGCCTTCTCCAGATGACTTCCCTGTGGTTCCAGCCCTCTGTCACCTGTCAGGTCCAGCCTGCTACCTACAGGCCCACCCAGCTTTGCCTAGGTCTGCCTCCTTGCCTTTTGATGCTAACCCCTCCAGCCAGATATGATGCTGACCAACCTGCCAGGGATTCTGGCTCCACCTACTTGTCCTTGGTGGTCATTCCAAGCCTCCCCATTGGCTTTTTGTCTAGTTCTAAACAGTTGGGTCGAGAACCCTGCTACGCAGGGCAACAGAATCACAGTGCTTCACATTTCCCTCCACAGTTTGAGGACTTCCTGTCTCTAAAATGGCCTTTCTGGACACGCGAGGACCTTGCCTTTGGAGGTAGTGAGCTCTCAGGGAATCTGAAGATGGCTCACAAGAGTCAGTGAGCCTTGTGACTACCTGTGGTAGTCTGGTCATGGGACTGTTGGCGAGAGGGTCCACTCCATCCCAACCACCCAGCCTCTGGGCTCAACCGCCACCTCTGATCCCCCAGCCCCTCCCCAGGTGTCTGCGTCATCTGTGGAATGGGATGACAAGGCCTAGCTTTGGGGGTCATTGCCAAGGCTGTGGAGATAGTGCATGTAGGAGCCCTAGCTCATAGTCTGCTCAGTTGGGTGATGCTGTGCTGGGGCCGTGTCGTGGGCCTCTGGGGGCTTGTTCAGGACTGTATGCTGTTTTTGTCTCTGACTTGTATAGTTTTGAATTTCCACAATCTCCCTAGTCCGATGTACGAGGGCTGTGCAATCCTGACCAAGGTATGGCAGAGGGGAGGGGATGAGGGTAGTGTGAGTTCATTGGTGTAGAGCATATCTCTAATAGATGTCCCCTTTGTCTGCTCCACAGACAGCAGCACCTTATGCTCTCATGGCCACGTCCTGACCCTCCACATATGCTGAGGCTGATATAGGTTTGTGTCCAGCACTCACAAACCTCCCAAGAAAGCCAAGCAAGTAGAAGGGCTGTGTGGGGAGGTGGGAGAGCCAGGAGGGAGTGCCAAGAGTTTACAAGCAGGCGGATCAGGAGCTGGGCCACGGAATTTATAAGTGAGCTAACTCTGTTCAGACCCTCTGTCTGTCCTGGCTGCCCCTGCAGGAGCTCTCCCTCAGCTGTAGCCTGGCAACTTCTAAGCCTGGGCCGACCCTCTGTGGGTCAAGGTGAAGTCCTTCATGGGGAAGCCAGTAAAGGGGGGGGTTGCATTCTGCCACACAAATCCTTACCTGTAGGCACTCAAGTCCCTGTCATGCTCTGGTGGCTAGTCCATCTTAGCTCAGAGGCACCGTCTTAGCAGGCAAGTGTGTGGGCCTTGAGGGTGTTGAGATTGGGGCCAGGACCCAGATTTCACTGTCTCCTATTGTCACCTCCCAAGGTCAAGGTGAACTATAAAGATGGGCTGGGGTGACACACAGCGGGTTCTTTAGTGCTTTCACCGTCACAAGCTCAGGCTGGGGTATCTGAGCTTGTGTAGTACACAAGTGCTCAGAGGTACTACCAGTTGGTTTCAGGGGAACCCCTCTCCAAGAAACCACCTCCAGGGTCTCCCCTGGAGCAGCCTGGAACATGGTGTCTTGTTTTTGAGAGAGTATCTGCTTTCTTTCATGGAAGCACCTTGGCAACTGAGTTTTAATAGGTTCCAGGCATTTGGGGTGATGAAAATGAGTTGGGCATCCCTAAACTTAATGGCATCCTTCTGTATGAATGCAGTAGCATGGTAACTGTCCAATGGCATGAGGTGTTGCAGGCTGTAGGGGTTCCCCGAGCAACAGAGTGTAGTGTGGGATCTGGGGAGGACACTGGTTTCCCAGGCCAGGAGAGACTGCAAACTTGACATGAGGCCCTCAGGGAACTATATGCGGCTGCGGTTTTACATCAGGCAGGACTGGGTATACCAGTTGCCTGAAAGTTGAATAGGAAAAGGACGTGGCTTCTCTAGCTGGAAACATGGGACGGCAGCAATGGCCAGGCTGAGGATGTGACTGGGAACAGGCAGCAGCCACCTTAAGTGGCCACTTCCTGCTGTGGTTGAGCAGATGTGAGATGGATTCCTCATGGAGACCCTCCTGAAGTTTCAGAAATGTCCCTCCCGTATGCTCGGCAGACTCTAGCACTGTGTGTGTGTCTACTATGGACAGCGTTGAGGGGCCATGGCTGTGGTGTGGCATGGCTTTAGTGTAGCTGCCAGGTCTTCTGATGTCACAAACTGTCCTTTATCTAGAAGGTAACTGTAGGGCAGGGGTGGAGCTAAGACACTGCTGTCTGGGGATAAACTCCTTTTGAACCATAGCTCTGGTCTCAGCAGGGAAATCTGCCAGGTTGGGGTGGTAGGCTGATTTTTCCAGCCTTTCCAATTCTGGACTTCTCTCTCTCCTCCTCCTCCTCCTCCTCCTCCTCCTCCTCCTCCTCCTCCTCCTCCTCCTCCTCCTCCTCCTCCTCCTCCTCCTCCTCTCTCTCTCTCTCTCTCTCTCTCTCTCTCTCTCTCTCTCTCTCTGTCTGTCTCTCCTCTCTCTCTCTCTCTCTCTCTGAGATGTACATAAAGAACCTTCCTATTCAAAATGTCGGATGATTGTAAGCTTCTCACATACTTAGGGCCAATTGACTGACTACAGTCTGATTATTCTACAGACGCAAAGGACCAACACTGGGGGACTAACTTTTTCCACCTACCAAACCTTCCCAGCTTTGGAGCCTCCCAAAGCCTCCACAGTCTCCACCCAATCACCAACCCCGGTAATCAGGATTCCCAGGGTAATGCCCCTAGATCTCCTGAATTGGAAGCCTGCGGGCATCAGAAGCGAAAGGGCAATAGGAACACCCCCCCACCCCAGGACTACACTACCCAGAATTCCTAGGGTTAGCAAAAAAGGAAATGTCGTTTATGCAAGAAGAGGCTCAACTCCCCCAGCAGCTGCAGAGAGGGGAAAAAAGGGAGAGAGGGATAACCAGGGGGAGGGCGCGCTGAGTGCGGGAGCGAGGGTGGAGAGCCGGGCGGGCAAGAGGAGGAGGCGGCGCCCGCCCGCCGGCCGCCGCCTGCGGACCTGCATCCCGCGGGGCGCAGGATCGAGCGGCGGTCCTGCGTGCGCCGGTGCGCGCTGCCGCTCGGCTGCGGGCGAACGCGGGGGCCAGGCCGGCGCAGGGGCCGAGTTTCTGCAAAGTTTGACCTGGTTGCCTTTCCGATGCTGCAGCAGAGCGAGGCGGCGCTGGGCGCGCCAGACGGCTGCGGCGCGGCAGCGGGGCAGAGCAGCGACAGCATGCTCACAATGATCATAAAATAAGGAGGCGCTCGGGGTGGGGGCGAGAGAGCCCCGAGCCTCAGCCCTCCACCCCCGGCCATCCCCACAGCAGCCGGGAGCTTGGAGGGGCTTGGGGATCCCGGGCGCCCACGCCATCCCTAGACCCTAGGAGAGCCAGGGTACATTACCCAGGAGGGGGGCGCCCCGAGAACGTGTGGGCGGAGGGGTCGGGGCGTCCGGAGGGCAGAGACCCAGGCACCTGGAGCGGCCCTAGGGGCAGGTGAGTTCACAACGCCCCCTTGGTGGGAAGGAGAGTGCTAAAGTTCTCCGGCAGAGGCGTGCGCCCTGGCGCGCTGTGCTCCGCTGCCGCTCGCGGCTGACGAGGGGAAACCGAGGCACGGGGCGCGGGGGATAGGACCGCATGCCCTCTTGGTGTCGAGCCACCTCAGTCGGCTAAGGGCCTCTCGCCAGAAAGGACCGGCCTGGGGATGGCACTGCGCCCCTGGGGGACCGATAGACCCGAGAGAGAAGGGGCGTTCCACTCTGGTGGCGTGGTGCCGAAGCGCAGCACCAGGGCCGGGAGGTTCTAGTGATCCACTGCGGTGGCAGTCTGGCCGACCCCTCACCCCGCCCCCGGGCTGGAGGGGTGTCAGCGGAGATGTCACGGGAGGCGATTATTCGCTGGTGCGCGCAGTCGTGCGGCCGCCACTGACGGGGCGGGCGGAGGGGGGGGCGCCACCTCCGGGGAGACCGCCCAGAGCTGCGCCGTCAGCTCCGCAGCCCGCGCCCGGCGCACACGCATCGCCGCGCCCTCGCGTCCCCAGCAGTAAAGTTCGGTTCAACTTTGACGCCCTGTCCCTTCCACCTCTCTGCAGGTCCTCGGTGGCCGCGGCGAAACAGGCAGAGGCGGACATCCAAGCGCAGCCCCGGGGCCCCACGCGGCGGTCGGCGGCGATAGCAACAGTGGCAAAGGAGCGCGCGAGTGGGCGCCAGAGGGGACGCGGAGAGCGCCTAGCCCGGAGCGCGCCTCTTGGAACTGCGCGTGGGTTCGGGTCACGCAGGGCGCCAGACCTCTGCCGCTTGAACGAGAGCTCACGCTGCAATTGATTGGGCCCCTCCGGGAGGGCGCGTGTGTCCCAGGGAGCGGGTGCGGAAGGCAGAAGGGCAGGAAGTCGGCGTTCTGCAGCGAGGGTGGCGCAACCGCGCGGGGACAGAGCCTTCCTTATTTATGTGCCTGCCAGCGCTCGTCTGCTTCCTCCGAAGACTTCAGGGAGAGTGTTCGAGCTACCATCCCCAAGTGTGAGGACGCAGGGCTGGATGTCAGAACAACATGCTTATCCATTAAACTGCAAACTTTTCTTTTTTTAAACCCAAAGAATATCGGTGGCTTTTGCCCACTGCTAGAAGAAGGAGCCCAGGGCTCTTGAGATGCAGCAGAATCCGTATTTATAACCGAGCCCGGTAGTGCTATGCAAGCCCCCTCCACTCAGTAAGTTCTCTATCCTGTGGATCTCGCTTTTGAGTTTTGAGATTAGATTGCGCGCTCTGCACTGGGTCCTGCAACCTCCATCCTTTCAATGCCCTGTTATTTTTGGGACTGCTGGCCTTCCCTGGAGATTAGAGCGGTCCTGTGTGCCATGGGCTGTATTCAGAGCATCGGAGGCAAAGCCAGAGTCTTCCGGGAAGGGATTACGGTGATTGATGTGAAAGCCTCCATCGACCCCATCCCCACCAGCATCGACGAGTCCTCCAGCGTGGTACTCCGCTACCGGACACCCCATTTCCGGGCCTCAGCCCAGGTGGTCATGCCGCCCATCCCCAAGAAAGAGACCTGGATCGTTGGCTGGATTCAGGCATGCAGTCATATGGAGTTTTACAACCAGTACGGGGAGCAGGGCATGTGAGTACTTCTGGGGACGGACAGGGGTGGGGGGAGCCTGCAGGGTAAGTTGTTTCGGGGCACTGGAGCAGGGCTCATGGGACACAGAGGTCTTCAGGCAGGCGAGGAACTGTCTCCAAGCCTTCTCTAACTCTCTAGAGCACATACTTGTTGACTAGGGTCCTAGTTCAATAAGACCAGACTGCTATTGTTCCCGGTGCCCAGAGCTCTCCTGTCCTTCCTGGCAGATGCTGGGAAAACGGGAACGCGTACCTCTCTGGTAAAGCAAGTGTCAGGGCCATGGGGTCACCAGAGAAGCCACCGCCGTAGCCCCAGGCTCAGGCCTCCATGAACCTGTGAGGCAGACATGAGGGGCAGGGGCCTCCGAAGCCTCCACACTCCTTTGTAGGAGACTTTGTGCTGGGGCCTGGACTTGTGTCAGGGGTCTGGGGTGGGGGTGGGGGGTTTGGATGCACAGAGAGCAGCAGAGGACAGCATTGCCATCGTCAGTGGTGGTGACTGGTAGCAGCGTGTGTGTGTGTGTGTGTGTGTGTGTGTGTGTGTGTACACGCGCGCACATGTGTCTTACAGGAACTTCAGAAACCTACTTTGCTTTGCGGTTTGCAGCTTTGTCTCCCCATAGAGGTCAAGGGTCAGCATCCGGTGTTCCTCCCGTGGGGTCCTAACTAGGAACACTGGATTCGTCTCTGTGGCTTGGTCTCCTAGGATGACATAGATCTCCACAGGGACCCGGGGCCCTTGGGCCCTGCTCCGCATGTTCTCTGGCCCCAGAGAAGGCCATCCCCCATTTGGAAATAATGTGCGCGGAAACCGTGGTGAAAACAGCCGCTGAAACCCAGCGGTTCCCCGGGGGGACGGTCCCAGCTTGCCCCCTGTGACGGCTCATGGACACCGTCTCGTAGTCTTTGGTGTCCACTCCACGTGGCCTCACTTCTCAGCAAGTGGGGAAGAGAAGGACCTCCTGGAGAGCTGGAGTTTATGTTTGACAAATGTCTAGGATAACCTGGCTCACTGGAGCCGAGTGTGGCCAGACACAGGTCGAAAATGAGCCTTCTCCATTTGGTGACTCCTGAACAATAAAGGAAACAGGCAGAGGGGATAAGACTTAAAACTGGGTTGTCGCCCTCATGGCCTAAGACCATTGGGGCGCATGGGGTCACTGGGCTCCCTGTAGCGCCACCTCTGCCTGTGAGCCACAGCTATTCTAACATGCTGGGTGAGAGGCTCGGCCACCCCCAGGGGGTCAGGAACCTCAGGCGAGGTCGCTTCACTACTGGTGGTCCTTGGGTCGCTAGTTAGATGACCCTTGTGCACCTTAGACTCCGAGATCACTTCCCAGGGTGTGACCTTAGCCACTCTGAGCCTCAGTTGACTCATCTGCAAACTGGGGCTAATCATTGTTGCCTCTGCATGGTTTATTGAGAGAGTTACTCAGACAACCTTTGCCCCCACAGTCAGCATGAGGCCATGTTCGTGCAAATCCTGCAAGCAGGTGGCCTTCAGCCTCAGTGTGATTTCAGTTCCAAGCCTACCGGATGGAAAGAAGTGATGGTATTTATGAAGCCAACATGAGGTTGAGGCCACTGAAAAGATGCCAGCTACTCCTTGTAGTGAGTTTTCACCCCAGCCTGGGCCTTACACTCTTCACTTATAAGACTGTAAAAATGGCGTCAGCCAGGGATGGCTAAAGTGGCCAAGGCTGTCTTCTTTGCTCTCTGTTAGCGCTCCACTCATTCTCCCAAGGCACCTTGGCTTTTAAGTCCCAGGTGGGCCAGGGCCAGCTGCAGCGTGGGGACAGGGGCAGGTGACCATCCTATGGAGAAAATGCAGTGGGCAGAGCCACATGTCTGCTCACCGCTGCTCAGCAAAACTGTGAAAGCTTGGATTTGCTGAGTGGTGCTGTCCCGTGGTCCCACTGAACATGGTGCTGTACCCGTCCCGTCCCATGGATACAGGGCTGCTTTGCAGGAAGCCTGGCCCCACCTTTCATTGCTCCAGACTGCAAACAGACACAGTCAGATGGAGTTATTAAAAGCACCTTCCAGGCTGGACGTGGTGGCGCACGCCTTTAAGCCCAGGCCTCGGGAGGCAGAGGCAGGCGGATCTCTCTAACTTGGAGGTCAGTGTGCTCTACATTGTGAGTTCCAGGACAGTCAGGGCTGATTCAGAGACCTTGTCTCCAAAAACAAAACAAAACAGCACAACCTTCCTGTATTAACTGCTGCCTCTGAGCCCTTAAGCCCCAAGTGAGTGGGCGATTGTCCCCTCCCCTGCCTGTGCCTGGTCAGATACTTCTCCTTGGCAGCTGGGGACATTTGGCTCCACCCCTTTAAGTATCCTACCCACCCCCCCAACTTGTAACAGCCACGAATGTCCCCAAACAGGATCCCTTGTCCCCTGGGAGGGGTGTGGAATTACTCTTAGACTCAGCTCAGACTAAAGTGACCTGGGGAGGGGACAGCCAGGTGGCCCAGGCTGGATTAGAACTTGTGTTCTTTACAAATGGACTCGTATTAAAAATATTAATTCTGACTGCTTATCCGAAATCCGTACTATCCCCTAGCATTATCCCTGCTCGAAATCAATCTCTAAGTGAGGACGATTTGTTGGATGGCGCTGACATGGAACACAAATTCTGAGAGCTACCGCCTGCCCACAGTACTTTCAAAGCCAATCCCCCTCCAAACTGTTGGAGACACCTGCCTCCTCAGCTGTCCCCCGCAATTCCTCAACTGCCACCTGTCAGCTGATGTAGAGCCTTCTGAGTGACAAGTCACAGTTTCTTGCCTGCGTGGGAGGGTGCGTGCCTGTTGTCCCTACTTTGCCCTTGTTTGGTGCTCTCTGGGAACCTGGCCCACGGCTAGGGCCAAGGCCAGGAGTGGTGTAGCTCAGGATGAGCCAATGGCGGGGAGGGGAGGAGTACGGCCTGGACCTTTTTGTTTCCACCTTTGAAATGGGGATGCTAGCACCTCCCTGCTTACTTGTCTCTGTGGGAGGAGTAAGGTAGTGCTTGGCACAGAGCCAGCACCCCGGAACACTCTCTGCTCCATCTCCCTAGATACTAGGATTACAAATCCTGAGTGTTAGTACTGAATTATTGTTCTATACTGCGTGGCCAAGAGCTAAGCCAAGACCCATGTGTGGTGTTACTTCTCTCTGGGTCCCCTTTCATAGTGGGACAGCCTTGGTGAGGCTCATGGGGTAACACTATCTCAGTGGTACGCCTCAGGACCTCAGAGGCCCTAACTTGAGGATGGGAACTCAGACTGTAAAGCTTGCCCAAGGATGTTTGCTCAGCACCTGAGGTCTGGGGGATGGCCCCAGGAGGAATGTCCTGGCTAGCATGTGGCCTCTTCCCGGAGCCAGGGCCTGAGTGCCTCACAGAACAATTGAAGACTAAGCTTCCTGTCTTGGGGCGGAAGGCGGCTTCCCCCATCTGCTAGGCAATGGTGGAGGCCAGGGCGGGGTGAGTAGGAGAGGGAAGTCCTTGCTTCCGAGCTTCAGGGTGGGAGGTGGGAGGGAAGTGGTGGGGGTTGCCCAGCCCAGCCTGGGAGACACCACACACACACACACACACACACACACACACACACACACGCACACGCACACGCACACACATACACAGACACGCACACGCACACACATACGCACACACATACGCACACACATACACACACACAGACACACACACACACACACCACTAGCTGTGACCCCAGTGATGGCTCTAGCCCGAGTCCACCCTCTGAAAGTGGGAAGCAGTGACCTGTTCTGGGGACACACGGACAGATACCCAGGAGACAGGGAAATGCTAGGGACCTCCACTGTGGTCCTGGCCCAGCGAGAGTGAGGAAACTTCAGGGCCTCCTATGTCGGGAGCAGAGTCTAGGCAGCCGCCATGATCCGATCCGCTGTCCGCTGAGCCTGGCTGTTGCTGGTTATACCTTTAGTCCAGGGCTTCTGCTTTTAGGGTCTGGTTTACAGAATACCGGACCCTAGTCTGGGCCTGGCTTTTGGAGACACCATAGGTAGCCTAGTAAGCAGGTAAAGTACATACATACGAAGAAAGAAGCCAGTGTCAGATGCCACTATGTGAAGACCTTGCCCTGGAACTATGGCAGCAGGGAGCTGTAGATAACCCAGGCATCATTGCAGATGGGAGAGAGAATTAAGATCTGTCCACTGTGCAGAGCATTGCTGTTACAAACAACCAGGTTTCCATGGAAACAGTAGTGCCGCATTAAAATAAGGCTGGAAGATGAGCTCAGGGTCCTACAGAGATTTTGCCTTGAGAGGCCTTGGCCTCCATCCCCAGCACCACAAAACCCAGCAAAGCATGCAAGAATCTGATAGAGACGGTTCATTGTGAGGAAAACGTTAAACATGGGGACACATCCTGTGTATATATGCAGAAACGTCTAGAAGGATGTTTACTGAAGTGTGACATCATGAGTAACCTCCAGGAGAAGGAGGGGCAGAGGAGACAATGGCTTTTAGTTTTTACTTTATTAATTTCTTAATGGCTTGCTTTTTTTTAAGGACACATTTTATTACTAGAAAATAATACAAATTTTTAAAGGAAGAATAGTTTATTGAATGCCCTGCAAAAGGCCACTGCTGGGCAGTTCTGACTGTGGTATTTGGCCTTGAAGCTGAAATGAAGCAGGCACTTTCGGGTCCTTCCCCGTCAGGTTAGGCCAGGGCTGGGGTGAGAGTCTGGAGGGGTGGGACGGGAGGAGAAAGGTTGCAGAAGAGGGCCCGTGGGAAGAGGCAGCACAGATCCCTTGCTTGAGCTGTGGGCAGCTGCTGGGTGCTTTGAAGGCTGGTGGTCAGCCATGGAGGGCCCAGTTCAGGGGCATCTTAGCCTTGTGTAGAAGGGAGTCTCCCAGGCCTCACTTTCTGCAACATAAAACTTCCAGAGTGAGTGCTGTTTGGGGATTTTACCAGTTTGCGAATATGTTCAATTGATATCCAGGTGAGCTAACCCCTTGACTTTCCCAGG